CAAAAAGAATATTATTGTAAAAATTTAAGTGTTTAAAAACTTCCATTGTTTTGTTTTTTTCGCCAGTCTATGAAATTGAATCAACAGTTTTTAACATTAAGTATGTCTACTTAAGTAATAGTTCGTCTGATATAATATATTTTGTATTTTATCATAACAAATAAAATAATTATACATAAATGTTGTTATTGATTATCATTAATAAAAATAAACAAAACAATTTCATTTTCATTCCAAATGAGATGAAATCTAAAAAATTCATAAATAAATCATTATATATGTTAATGTTAACAAGAGAGAAAGGAAAGAAAAAAGAAATATATGTGAAGAGAGAAATTTTCTTTTCTTTTCTTTTTGTCTTTCTCTCGTCCATAAGTCATTGTTCATGTTTGTTATCATTGACGATCAATGATCAACATGTACAATTAAATATGCATATCATTTTCGACGAGAGAAAAAAATGATTTTTCAAGGTATATATACGAATGATTTTCTAGGTAAAATCATTCAAATTTTTGAATCACATAATAATCATTTTTCTTTTCTGTTTTAGATTGGCTTCAACCAAACAATATGAAACAATTCAACAACAAACCATACAATAAAAATAAATGTAGGTATTAGTTTTACTTTTTTTTTCTTTTACGATCATAAGGATGGTGGGGTAAGGCCTCCTTTGATCTTTTTATTATTATTATTTTTATTTTAGGGAATAAACAATGAAGACAAAGATAACATTAGGGTAAGTCATCTCATTCTATTTCATTAAATAACATTGATTAAATTATTTTTTCTGTTCCTTTCAGCTATCAATATCATCGCGTCATCAACATCAGACGGTAAGTAATTTTTTTTTTTTGAGATGAGAATAGATAGTGAGATTGAGAGGTTAGGGTGAGACTAAGAAAAGTGAGTGTTAGTGAGAGACGAGGGTGAGTTCTGTTCGTTGAGGGTTAGGGTTTCGTCTCTTATGAAGGACTTCTGGGTAGTCCCTAAAAGCTCGGCCAGGAATCGTCTTGGTGTCCGTGGCACACGACCAGGCTTATTCAGACTCATTGACATATCTCTCTGGGGGAGGGTGTGAATGATATGAGTCTGTCCTGTGCGTGCATGAGCGTTACGCTCGCCACGGCTCCACCAGGATGGTTGCTGATCGCGTGCGCGCGAATAGAATAAGCCATTCATTTCATGAATTCAATGTGATTTATTTGAAACGAAAGGAACGCAAAAAAAATCTATCACGACGAGTCTATTCGATTGAAAAACGTTGAACACGATGATTATTCCTATCGACGACATAGAGATTGCCATGTCGATCGAAGGACAAACCACGTAGATAGTTGAACTGATTTGCTCGTTCTCCTTGACCATTTCCACCCACAATGACAGTCCCCCGTTTCCCTCCTTTAGGCCAACGCATCACTCGATGATTTCCCCGGTTTGCCACATAGATGGTACCCAATGTATCAACGAACAGTCCGTAAGGATCCGACAATTGTATCAGAGCATTCCCTTCCCCTTGACCTCCAGCGACGACAATTCCTTCTTTTGCACCTTTATTCCATTTCATTACACGATGATTGTTTTGGTCTGACACGTAGACAGTCTGCTGTTGATCGACAAAGAGGTAGGTCGGCGTGTTGAGTTGATTGAGACCATCATCTTCGCCATTGCCACCAGCCACAAGAGTTCCATTCTTGTCTCCTATTTGATATCGTCTTACTTCATGTTTTTCATTGTCAGAGATGTAGAGATATCTCTGATCATCCATGGCCAATCCATAAGGATCGATGTTGTCGATGAGAATTTCTCCTTGAGTTGTACCATTACGACGAGACCATCGAACGACTCGTCGATTCAACCAATCACAAATAATGAGACTATCCGTCTCTTTGTCAATCAATACATCGGTTGGTCGATACAATTGATCCAATCGATTTCCTTCGCCATTGCCACCAGCTACTACTTGTCCATTCGTATCGCCCATATTCCATTGAATGATACGATGATTGTGGCAGTCAGCGATGACTATCGTTTGATCATCATCAACGAAGAGACCATTAGGGCAGTAGAGTTGATTGGTACCACTACCCCCTCCATGGCCTCCAGCAACAGTCACTCCATTCTGTTTCCAACGGGCATCAACTGGAATATTGGGAATTACTACAATGAACAAAAAAGAAAAGAAATCGTCGTTGTCGAAGGGATCCCGTCTCTCGTGGAAGTAAGCGCTACAAAGAAGACATTCATCTTTGAGAATGCTCATTCCACAGATAAAAATTCAGAAGTATTTTCCTAGTTTCTTATGAGAAAAAAGGATTTGGTAACGATTCTTACATCTATGTTACTTCTAGTTCTTGTCAAGATCTTTTTGATTATAAGAATAATACCTTGAGATTGTTGTAAGGAGGTTCTCCAAGAAAGAGTAATACTAATTCTATGTAAGTTTTTGATAGAAAAACATAAGGATCTGAAGATTTTTTCAGAATTGCAAGAATTCAGAACCTTTTTGGCAGAATGATCATTTACATGAATATCAGAGAAGATTCTATCTGTATCTTGTGAGAAGAATATCGAATCGTTGAACAACAAAATATCAAACCTAATCCCTATGTTTTTTAGAAAACCATAAGGATACAGGATTTTCTGTATGATGAATGTAGATCTGCCGAAGAATCTCCTAAGTGTTTGCATAGAGAATGCCGGTGAAATTTTATAAGGCTTTTGGTAAGTTATGTGAAGCTGTTCGAAGAACAACTGTGATGTACTCTGAGTAAGATCATGAGAAGACGTAGACACAGGCGAAACTGAACAAAGTTGAGAGGATTCCACGCGAATCTATGTAATCTGAGAGGGCTTCTACTTTTGCAAATGCTGAAAAGATGGATGTCAATCCGAACGGAGCTCTCCAGTGACAAACATTGGGATCTATGGATTTTATGGGCTTTGAAAAGAAAGTGTTTTAAAATGCTATTTTAAACTTTTGATGAACACCATCTTCAAACCATTGTATTAGAGTTCCAGAACAGAATCTTGGTGACTAAATAAGATACTCTGCAAAAATCTGAAAATCTAAAAATAATGAGTATCTTCTATGAGGATCATGCTATAATCCTTATGTAGTACTTGTTCTGAGAAGTTTTCTGGAAGCTCGCATGTTATGGATATGTTCAGGAGGATCTGAAGGGTAAGTATTTTGAAATGGTTGATATCAGAGTGAAAATGGAGTAGGAACAGGACAGAATGGAAGTGCCTATCTTTAAATTTTATGAGAAAGTTTATAAAGCAATAAATTAATGTGCCACTATTTGATATCAATCGTAGATTTAATTATGTTCAAAAACTTATGTGTATTTAACTCTCGGGTGTCCAAGCTAATTTTTGGAGATAATATGATAACATGTATTCATATTTCTATGATTTTGATTGCTGGACTGGTATTCTTGCCCAAATTAGATTGTTTTCCTCTTCAGTCTTGTAAAGTAATTATTAGAATTATAGTTTTCCTTTATTTAGAACAGTAAATACAAAAAATTCCCTGAACAAAATGCTCATCAAAAACCGATCCTGGGAGGGTTTTCACTGAATTCTTCTGAACATAATGAATATCATAGGCACAAGGGCGGATATATATAATAGAAATCTCGTGACAATAATAATCTTCTCGAAGATTCTGAACAAGAATATTGAAAATAGAGTAGATGCGATGTCATGCACTAAAAGAATGCAAGAGAGAAGGGATATGCATGAGATGTAAAGTAGACAGGAAAGGAAAAAGAGAAATGTACTAGAAGAGATAAAAAAGAGACAGTAAAAATAGATGCATTTTTTTAAAGCTTTTGTCAGATTCAGAATAAAAGATGTCATTGGACGTCTTATTAGATTCTGAGATTAAGAAATATATAAGAACAGAGTAAAGGACTCTGATCTGATTTTATCTGACTAAATGGGATTCGTAAACAAAAGAAAGTTATAGCATTACATAATCCAAGTCTTGTCTGCTCTTATTTGATTCTGTGTGATCCATCATGTTCTTTTACTTATTTGAGAATTGTTGATTCAATAGCTTCTATTATAGAGAAATGTACAAAATACACAATGTTGTGTTATGAAAGTCGATGTTTTCTATTATTGTAATCGTAAAATCATTTTTGACTTCACAAATGCTTTGTATAATAGATTAGTCAAGGTACAGTTGTATCTTGGAAATTTTCACATAATAGAGAACGTTTTTCTTCACAAAATATTTCGACAGAAAAAATATCGATGTCCAAATTTTTCTAAAACTATCACAAGATGAAAAATTAAGTTTTTTTCTATTATCCTCTAGTATACGCTGGAACATATATTTTTGTATTCCTTATTTTTCTATATATATAATATAGAAAACGATATAATATTTGATTTATTTGAACTTATATGCTTATACATATATTTTTATTCTTAGTTTTCTGTACTGATATTGATAATATAGGAAACTTGTTAGCGTAGCCCCTTTGGGGCTGAAATGTGAAACTCCCATATATTCTCTAGCCTCATTAAACTAATACAAAATATGTAAAGTGAAAAATCTTTTGTAGACTATAGTTATTTTGTAGGATAATCGAACATCAGAGTAAGAGTGTTTCTAATTTCTGCATTTCGAACAGAAATTTTCTTTTTCTACGGGTACCTTATTTTTTATTTTGCATTGTTACTATTCGCTCCTTATTATTCATTTTTTAAATTCGTTTTTCTTAATTTAACATTCTTATTATTATAATTATTGAATTAATTGGCAAATACATCTGTTCTACATATCTATTATATCTATAGCACATCTTATGCACTATTATATATATATGTTAAGTAACTCAGAAACAATGATGTTGATTATCTTTTAAAATTATAACTTTATCAACTTTGCAAAAAAACTACAGAAAGTCTGACGCCTGTTATCCTCAATTGCTAAGATCCGTAATGAGGAGTTGTCTGTAATGGAGATGACGGTGGAGGGAAGGAAGGGAAGCCGCAAAAATTCGACTTAAAACTTACACTCACTATTTTCTTTAAAAATATGTCAGTTCCCCAAAACTAGTGATATAGATGTATTTCAAACTCGACGACCAATGATTCTAATGAGTGACGACACTGAGTCTAAACTCTTCTCATTAAAGAGAGTCATAGATTTATAAAAATATCTATTGACATATGATTGCTTTCGTAAAAGTCAAAATACAATTCTTATTTTGAGTAGATATTGATACCTATTCGCTAGTTACATAATCTTCCTCTAAAATTTGTGATTGAATTACTTTGTCTGTCACCTGATCGATATAAATAGTATAGAATGTATAAAGTGTAATCGGAATATAGAGCTTCATATAAAACAAACAAGTCGAAAAAAAATTTGTTTAACTTCATTGAAATCAGAAATGAAATGAATGGAATAGGTCTTTTTCTTTTTACCATGTTCAATCATTTGAATTCATTTTCATTCCAATTATCAACAGGCCAGTTCAATAAAATTATGTTTTTGAGATATAATATGATATGTGACTATGTTTGCGATAATAATCAAATTTCATACGATTTCATGTATGTAGTCTGCGTTTGTTGAACAAACGACCGTGCTTACGCTAATGTCTAATAGAGAGTGAATGAAAATTAACCATCTTGTCAATGTAGAAAATTAAAAGAAATTACATGACGATGAAGAAATGAACATTTTCATGAACTAAATACCATAATTGTATTTTTGATTTAGAAGCCATGAACATGATGAAATTTTATTGAATATCGAATTCCATGTTCAACCAGATCATAACTCTCTAGTAAACTTTCTCGAAAAGATGAAATCCTGGCATTCTAATTTTCAAACTAAATTTTCACATGAGTTACTTAAGCTATTGGGATAGACATGGAAAGGAATGAAAACTTCCTTCTGATGCTGAATATCGGTTTTCTATTGATGAATTTACAGATTTCGTAAAAGAAATTGAGTAATTTTCCGCACGTCAACTACGATAAAGCAAGCAGATATTTTTGAAAACAAACTCATAAAAACATGTCAGAATTATTACGAAAACAAAATCATAAAAGTATTTTCAAGCGAATATATGTGTTCAAGATTTTTGATTTAAGCTAAATGAAACTGAACTCACAGATCTTTGAAAACTTTTTTGATTTTATTCAACTCAACTCATGAGTTAGGAAGTTTTTCTTTCAATTTGACTCAATTCAATTCAAATCATGAATTGAGTTGCTCAGTTATGAATCGAACGTATAGTCACATGTAAAATATATACGATAAAAAAAAAAGTCATTCTACGTTTAAGAAACTCATCTAACTACTGCGTATTCTGCGAAAGTAACATATATGAAGATTGTTTTCTTAGATTTCGAACAATGTTGAACCTTTTTTATGTATTTTTCGAATATCTGAAGTTGAACAGATATAAAGAATATATATCTAAACTATCATCTAAAATTGCCTATACTGAATTGACATCATTATTAAAATATATGTGTTATTGGAAAATATGTTAGAATATATTTATCAATTTTTTTTTGTTAGGATAAGAACAAAACTAGTCGCGCACACTCACTGTAAGTCATTTTTATCATTGTGTTCTTAAATAGATTTAAACGTGATTTTTCTTACATGATGAAGATAAAAATATAATGAAAAAGAATGAATAAATAAATTTGATAAAGTTATTTAAATATTTTTACTAATAATGTGCCCTTTTAACAAGGACTTAGGTGAGTACGATACTCGGTAACTTGTAGATGAATACAACAACGAGAACGAAGTACTACTATTTTCTAATGAAGAAAAAACAAACATCTACTTCGAAAGAACACAAAATGCAACGAAAAAAGTAGAAATCATTTTTTTGATCGATAATTATTTCTTGAAATGTTTCTGTAACGTTACCATCAGAAAATGTTGCATTAAGATATGTAATATTGCTAAAGGTATTCTCTTCTAAGTGTATATGGTTC